GGAGCCGCGGGGAGGAGGAGCAGGGAGGCAAGCTGTGGTTCCCGCGCTGTCTCATCTCTGCTCGGTTCTCTCTCTCTCAGAGGCCACCAACGGGACAGTGCCACAGGGTCAGCGCCCGCCCCCGCGGATTAAAAACTTCCAGATCAACAACCAGATCGTGAAGCTGAAGTACTGCTACACGTGTAAGATCTTCCGTCCGCCCCGCGCCTCTCACTGCAGCATCTGCGACAACTGTGTGGGTGAGTAGCTGGGGCCGTGCCTGCCCCTGCGCCCGGGCGCTGTGGGGAGCCTTCGGAAGAGACCTGGGGAAGATCCGCACCCGATCTCGCTCTGGATCCCGTCCAGAACGGTGGTGTGTGAACACACAGGGATGGTCTGCCTCATCTTAAGCTCAAGAAGCTTGAGATTTGCTCCGAACCTGAAGCCAGATGGTTCATCTTTGCCAGTACTTCTCTGGCAATAGCTAGTCTAACATCACCCTGACTTGTCCGTGTAAACACACAGTCCATGAGTGTCCCTGAGCTGCTGGCCTTGCTGGGCTGGAGGGTGCCGCTGGGGAGCTGTGCCTTGCGTGAAAGCAGCTCCTGCCATCAGCACAGAGGTTCTGCCGTTCTGTTGAGCACCCCTAGTTTTTGTTCCCCTGGTTTTTGTTCCCCTTGCTGCGCAGCAGAAGCTCATTCATTGAATGGTTTTGCACCTTCTTGCCCGGCCTCCCCTTCTGGGAGGGGGCCACGATATGGGACCCTGAGTTAGCAGAGGGTTGGTCTGATCTCTGCCTTCACTTGCACAGAGCGCTTCGACCATCACTGTCCCTGGGTGGGCAACTGCGTGGGGAAGAGGAACTACCGCTATTTCTACCTCTTCATCCTCTCGCTCTCACTCCTCACCATCTACATCTTCACCTTCAACATCGTCTACGTAGCACTGAGTGAGTCTGGCTGCGGGGAGGGGGGTGGCTGGGCTGGTGAAAGGAGGGGGCGTGCAGGTGGTGTAAACCCAGAAGTGATGGGGAAGAAACCCATCTCTTCTCTCTCTCTGTATTTCCAGAATCTCTGAAGATTGGGTTTCTGAACACGTTGAAGGAAACCCCAGGGACATATCCTTCCAGAGTCCGGAGGGGCTGGCTTCTTTACTGCAGTACAGAGGGACCAGAGTCTTGATGCCCAGGCTTCTCTAAGGAGCCTTTCAGGGCATTTTCCTCCATCATTACAGGATGAGGAGCAATTCTGGGGCTTTTGGGAGGAGGGTGAAACAGAAAACCACGTCTAGGAGAAGAAGAGAAGTTGGGGTGGTGTGCCTGGGGTAGTGACGCAGCTGGGCTGGGACCATTCCAGGCTGTTCCCAGTCCTTAGCTGTTCTCACTGTACTGGAGGTGCTCATCTGTTTCTTCACCCTGTGGTCGGTGGTGGGGTTAACTGGGTTCCACACCTTCCTGGTGGCACTGAACCAGACAACCAACGAAGACGTAAGTAGAGTGTTTCTGTTCCTCTGAGCCATCGTTTCCCTTTCCCATCGCTCCCTCGGCGTGTCTCGGCTGCGTCCGCCTTGCTGACCTGCCCCGGGGCTGGGACGCGTGTCGGTGGAGCAGAGCTGAGCTTGTGCCCCGACGGTTGCAGATTAAAGGGTCCTGGACTGGGAAGAACCGCGTGCAGAATCCCTACAGCCACGGCAACATAGTGAAGAACTGCTGCGAGGTGCTCTGTGGGCCTCTGCCCCCCAGGTACACTCTCTCGAGGGGCAGCACGTGGACTGGGGGCTCTTTTGGTCCATTCCCACCCTCTGAACTGGGCTGCTCCCCCAGGGGCTTGGTTTTCACAGGGGGAACATGGACCCTGTAAACTGGGTTTGGGCTGTGCACAGCCCGTTTTGGAGAGAAACCCCTTCCCCTGACTTGTCTTCCACCAGCACTTTTCCTGCCAGGGAAAGACCTCGGCTTGGGGGGAGGTGCGGGTCTGTGATGGTGTGATTCTGTTCTCGCAGCGTCTTGGACAGACGGGGCATCCTGCAGCAGGAGGAGAGCACAGCTCAGGAGGAGTCGTGCCCGCGGGGACCAAGCTCTCGAGACCCCGCCGCCGCCCAGGGCCCCGGGGGGCAGGTGGAGGAGAGCGGCGCTCCACAAAAGGACGGCAGTGTTCCTCACCCCAGCGCCGTGAGTGACCCCTTCTGCGAGGGAGGGAAATGGGGAGCGGGCTGCGCCGGCTTTGGGCCAGCGGAGAGAAAGCTGATAGTGCGGTTTAGTGGGAGCAAAGCAACACTGGGGGCCGTGCTGAGAGGCTGCCGATTAAAAGCCTGTTGTGCTCTGGAACTGGAAACCAGCATTTCTCTGGAGCTGGCTGGGAGGGCGCTGGGCTCCTCTGGGTCCTGAGCGAG